TCTCTTGGGCTAGAGATGTCTAATACATCATTTCTACAGGAATAATTTCTTTAAAATTATATGAGCACATTACTCTTTGCTTTATATGGGTTAGAAAACTCTCTCAGAAGGAAGAACATTGGCTCAGCACCCATAGCTCCGTGATTAGGGCGCCAGCCACATGCACTGGGGCTGGTGGGTTCAAACCTGTCCCGGGCCTGCTAAACAACATAATAGCCAGGCGCTGTGGCGGGCGCCTGTCGTCCCAGCTACTTGTGAGGCTGAGGCAAAAGAATGGCTTAAGCTCAAGAGTTTGAGGTTGCTGTGAGCTGTGATGCCACAACACTCCTACCCAGGGTGATGTAGTGAGACTCTGTCTCAAAAAAAAAAAAAAGGAAGAACATTAAAATACCTTGTAGTTCGTTTTTGTCTGTTTTAAACTGAGTATTTGCTACTATTCATGCTGGCATTTGGGAAATTAACAGTATGTTAACACTCTCAGTTGTAGCCCGGACGATGTAGATCTGATTTCTGGTTTTTGGGGCCCTCTGAAATGGAAGGCAACCATTTAGCTTTAGTATCTCTTAAGATTCTAAGAGACACATTTCCTTTTCAAAAGGGTAAAAATTTGAAGAACTCAAGGTCAGATCATGCCTAGGATTTGGAAAGTGAACAGAGCAGTGAAGGTGTTTGGGAAGCAATGAAGGAGCGCCCGACTAGCACCTGGCCGGGGACGGGCCGTGAGGGCCGCCCGACTAGCACCTGGCTGGGGATGGGCCGTGAGGGCCGCCGTTTCCGAACTCGACAAGCAGCTCGGGACATTCACCTTCTCACTTCAGCATTTCCGCCCTCATTTCAGTAAGACTGTGACTATCAAAGGCATCACATAGTGATGGCATCAGTGTGCCAATGCCTCTGTGCCATAGTGATGGCATCAATGCCTCCTTTCCTAACTTAGAATATTTCCTTTTAATTATTCTTCTTTGACTTTCTCTTATTTTGTTAAAAACACTTTTTTTTTTACATTTTAACTTTGAATACACTGGAAAGTAATTTTGCAATCTTTTTTTTTGGGGGGGGGCCAGGGCTGGGTTTGAACCCACCACCTCCAGCATATGGGGCTGGTGCCCTACTCCTTTGAGCTACAGGTGCCCAATTTTGCAATTTTTTTGATTAAAAAGTGTTCCAAACTATTTTTCTTAAATGCAAGTCTGCCTGTGCCTTCAGTCCTTTTAAAGGGAAGCTTTAAAATGCCGTCTTCACTAAAACATAAGCAAAGCATTTAGTCAATACGCTAAGGGAAGCCTGTTTTGGGAATAGGTAAAAGTGATAACTAATTTCTCCTGATGTGTGTGGAGTGTCAGAAATCACTATCGGATACAACCTGTCTATGGTAGAAGCCTGATAATGCAGATTTCTGATAAGCTGCTTTCTACATCTTTAATGTCTTGAGTTTTTACCCCAGTTCTTGACTACTCTTTCTCCTTCTGTTACTGCATTAACACGTTTAAATGATCTAAGTAGAATAGAAATATTCTGAGATAATGCACGATACGTATTTAGTTTCTGAAATGACACAGGACAGAAGGTGACGAGAGCATGGACGGCCGGAACAGTCCCTCCTCCACCTCCTCCCTCCACCGTCTGCCACCAGCGTCTTCAGAGTCATCCGCTTGTACTCAGAGAAAAGGATGCTGGTCTTGGAAGTTTTCAAGATTAATTTGGATTTGACAAATGTCAGGTGGGATTGTAGGATTTCTGGAACAAATGAAACTATGTCTCTAACTATAATCTGTACCTTTGCTGCATGCTTGTTTTTTGGCCGAACTTCAAAGAAAATGTCTACGAGGCTTTGTTAAAATGAAGAGTTACTACAGGCTGTCCTCAAAGTCCTTAACTTGTATTTATTAAAGCGATTGTACATATGATGGTGTGGTTGTTACCAAACACATAAAAATTGTCATTATTGACACTCGATTTAACAGTGGTAAAAATAACAAATAATGGAACAAGCATTAACATTACAAAAAAATCAGCAAAGAACTTACACATCAGGAAACATGTTTGGAAACACATACCCAGCAGGGCCTCGTGGTAACTGCCACCGGCCCTTTAAAATCTGCCACCAAGGCAAAGGAATCTTACTTTTAGTTTTTTACTATTTTGGATGACATCCAGGGGTGGGTAATTCTTACATATTGGATCTAATTTTAAATTAATGATTACCCTAAATTTACACTGAGCCATATTTTTGAGTAGAGTTGTTTCAGCCACTATTTGGGGGTAGCCTCTCATCACGTCCCAGACACGACTCCCCAGCTGAGAGTGACGGCTTTAGAGCTATAGTCAAGCCTTGCATTTTAGGCAAGAGATCACTTGGCAGACTTGACTATATATATAAAACATAGGAGAGGTGGGAGGACATGAGACAAGGATTTTAAAACGTATGAGCTCTAATTAATTTCAAATGGTTTCACTGAATCTGGAGACAGCAACAGAAGAGAGTGACTAAATTTTAATAGTTTACATTTCCGTTATCATATAACAGAGAATTAAGTTTTGAGATGTAGTTAAAGTTTCAAAAATGAACTAAAGCCCATTTGCTTTTCCCCTTCTATTATTTTCTACATATTTTTTACTATTACATAGGGACAAAATGTAAAAACTATTTATTTTGATTCAGTCTGAAAAGCAAAGTGAACTGCAGCCCAGCAGCGGAGAGCTCCTGGGATGGATCTGAGAAGTGCCTCCTCTTGCCAGGCCTGTATTAGTCACACGACAGAGGGAGATGACGTTCAGAGCTTCAAGGAGGATTGCCGGCCTTATGCTATCTATCATGTGAGGCTGTGGTGGTCATATTAAATCCTGCTATTTCTTAACACTGCTTTCCCAACAAGTCAGCCTCTAATGAGAAAAGATCAGTGACTCTATACTGCAAATCACACTGCTGCTACTAAGAGTCACGGTGAATGAAGAAACAACATTTCAACAAACCAGAATTTCCCAAAGTGTGTTATGTACAACACAAGTTCCTTGGAATGTTACTTGAAAAAAACTGCTGTGGTCAAATTAATCTGGAAAACACTGTGCTAACTGAAAACACTTAGTGTCTCTCGTTGGACACTTCAATCTGAGCCTTCGATATGCTCAGATGCATTAACTTTCTAAAATAGTGTGTGTTTCTCAAATGCATTTGACCCTGGAACCCGGTCTGGAAGCACATCTTTGGAACACACTTCAGGGAACACTGGATTCTCTGACCTCTATAGTCTGCAGCTCACTGGCTTACAAGTCTAGATGATTCAATGATTTAATCTAGAGGCAATTAAACAGGGATGGTGCCTAAGGGTCACGTCATTGCTCCAGAGCGGGGTCGGGGATGCTGGTGTAATATGCTAAGGCAATTTTGAGGGTATGTTAAAGGAAGATGAGTCTAATGGTGGCCTGAAGGGAGGAAAGAAGAACTGCTGAAATCACTATGAAAAGAAAGCTTTATACAAACAATGTGTTCCCGTACTTTGAAAAGTACAATGAAAAGTGACATCTTCTAAACAGAAACCCTTCATTGACCCAGTTGCAAGAAAGATGTGGCAACAACTCAAGTAAAAAAATCAAAATATCTGGCAAAGGAAAAAGTTTTCACTCTGCCTGTGAATCACTCATGTATTTCCAAAAACCCCACTGATCCAATTTGATAGTATAATCAATTTCCTAGAATCATTTCAGACTGGACTGCAATGATGATGCTTCATTCTCCTGCAAAACTACTGAAATAATTACACTTGTATGAAATTTTAAATGATCCAGCTCTCATATCCTCCTTCCCTGTCATGCTCTCTGTGTAATACTCTCACAACACAGAATTCAAGAGGCCAATATTTCAATGCATGGCAAGGAACAGAAAGTAGCCATTGGTTACCAGGAACATGGAGATAACCTCAGAACCCCAGAACGTGGGTTATGCTATATGACAACAGCAGTTCAGGATTAATCGTCCTGGGCAAATTGGTCACATAACATAAATGCAGGTCTTAGGAACTAGCTTTGGAGCTTTTTATATAAGTGTTGTTTACCACTATGATTAAAGAATTGCAAATACAATGAATTTTTAAAAACTTCTGCTGGCT